TGATTTCAGTTGAATGGGGAGTCTTGAAATCACACGTTTGCCAGTCCTGTTGGTGGGTTTGGGTTTGAGCTGTGCCATTGATTTAATGAGCCATGGGAAAGGTGGGTCTTGCTGGGGCTCATGATTGCACACAGTGCTCAGGGAAAAGGCTCAAAACAGAACTCCAGGGTTTGCTTTCTTCAGGGAAGGGAAGATCTTGGAGGTCACTGCTCCATCAGGGGGTTTAGGTTCATTCTTAAACAATAATAGGTAGACATTTGGCAAAAGAACATCAACAAGTGTCAGGGACAGGTGCTGAGCAGGCTGGGAATCATGGAGTGGTTTTGGTTGGAAAAGACTGTTAAGATGATCCAGTCCAACCCTTCCCCCAGCCCTGCCCAGGCCAGCCCTGCCCCATGTCCCTCAGCACCACATCTACACAGCTTGGAAACCCCTCCAGGGATGGGGACTCCAGCCCTGCCCTGGGCAGCCTGGGCCAGGGCCTGACAACCCTGGCCAGCAAGAAATGCTGCCCAACATCCCATCTCAGCCTCCCCTGGCACCTATTTTTGATTATTATATCCTTGAAATGGTCAGAATATCTAGAGGTTTTTCCTGCAGTTTGTCAATATTACAGAGAGTTGTTCTTTTAATGAGTCTTGTTTCCCTGAGGAGTAAAATTTTACCCAGTCAAATAAGGAAAATACTATTTTCACCCTACTCAGGGTTCAGATTTTCTTTCATTTAAGCCTAAGGTTTCACATTGTTGCCTTCCTGCCAGCATTCATTTCAGGTACTCATTAAAATAGAGTATTTCAACCAATTAGGGTTCTATTCTCAGGCAGAATATTCTATATTCTAAACATATACATGTTTATGTTGAGGTCTTGGACTGTTAGAGCCCAGAGGACTGAGAGGAGGTGACATTATGAATGTGAAGGTTTTACATACATGGATTTTATTACATAGAATCACAGAATCAGAGAAAGGTTAGAGTTGGAAGAGACCTCAAAGATCATCCAGTTCCAACCCCCTGCACGGGCAGGGACACCTCCCACCAGTCCAGGCTGCTCCAAGCCCCATCCAACCTGGCCTTCCATACAATATTGGGCTGGGAAGTGGTCTCCTTGATCCTGCCAGCAAGGGGAAAGGCTGTGAGGAGGAGGAGGGCACTGCCAGTGAGCAGGTGGTGGTGGAGCTTGTGGTGGGCAACAGAGGTTTGGGCTCTACAGCCACAGGACCTTGTTTCAAGGGTCTGCTGGGGGTGAGGTGGGGATCCATGTCAATAAAGGAGCCCAGAAGGCATCTTTGCTGGTAGGATGGCTGACCTTGTAAGGAAGGCTTTGAACTGGTAGTAGTAGGGAAAGAGCAA